CCTTTTCCTTCTCACAATCTAACTCGGCGCGCAACTTTGGCGGGCTTTATTTAAACTTTGCAACAAGCTGCTGAAGTTGGCGCAACTTTGCGCCACATCGACGTAACTACGCGCAACTTGATCGCCAAGTTGCGTACGACAATTGCGCTCACTTGGCCAAGTTAGGAGCTTCGCAACTTTGTGGCAAGTACGGCACTAAGTTTGTCTTGCCTGTGAGGGCTTGTGAGGAGTGAGGAGACTTCTGAAGAGATGAAGGGCGATGTGAGGAGTGAAGAGGATTGTGAGGTGAGGAGTGAGGAGGCTTATCACGAGTATTGGGGTTTTTTAGATGAAGAAATGTTAGGAACAGTGAGCAATTTTTGAAGAGAAGCTTTCTTTGTAAAAAATCGTACTTTAAGCATGCGATGATAATGGCATGTTTAAAAACACGAAATAAATAAATAAAATGTTCTGTCAAACAAAACGTCTAAAGACAACCAACCAATGTCAAACTCCAACATAATATAACTGTGTATAATAGTATATGATAACATATATAATAAATATAGCCTTGATGTTCACCTTTAGACAACAATTATTACGTACACCTTGCCGATTTCGACCACAATTATCACAACTACTTACGGGTTTCACTCCCCGGCTCACTGCTCCGTTTCTAGTCAGCCCAACACGTCGCTTTGACACGTAAAAAACTTTTAAAAATTTAGAGTAATTTAAAATTTCAGAGTTCATGAATTTTAGAGTTCATGAATATACCGGTGTTGTAGGTGCAGACTAAACGAAGATAGAACGTAAGAACGAAAATAATTGGTATATATAATTAGTCTATTTTAATCACGAATTCATAAAAAATTAAAAGTAAATAAAAAATGATTATATGAATTGGATTAAGGTTTCAATTCACTTGGCGCTTTATTGGCTTTCAGATTTGTGGTGCCTGTACCAGAAGCAGGGTGCGTACCGATCCTGGAAAATCTGGAAAGTACTGAAATTTGATTTTTCATTTTCCAGGCCTGGAAAATACTGGAATTTCATTTCAGATTTTGGAAAATACTGGAATTTGCAAATAAATAAGGTATTATTGCAGATTAACTACATCCAAAAAAAAGGGTGTTTTTTTTTTAATTATATGTTTTTTGGGGTGTAGATTACGAATCTGAAGTCCATTTTTGGCGGTCGGCATCGGAAAACCGATTTTTTGCAATAATACCGATCACACGTAGCGCACGACATCTTGAATGAACTCACCTTTATTTACTAACATGGGGGTTACGTAACTTACGTTACCCACTCACCTTTATATAAAGGGTCGGATTGTTCATCGAAATTTTACAAAAAGCTCTTAGGTTGGGTTAAGTCAGCCAAGTTCCTTTTTTTAGATAGCATTTTGATCTAAAAGGAACCTNACGGTACAGCCATATTGTCAGTACAGTTAGTGTAGCAGTACAGTTACAGTACAGTCGTAGTGTCAGTACAGTTACAGTGTACAGTTGCGGACTGTACAGTTATGACTGTACAGTTACGGTACAGTCATATTGTCAGTACAGTTAGTGTAGCAGTACAGTTACGGTACAGCCATATTGTCAGTACAGTTAGTGTAGCAGTACAGTTACAGTACAGTCGTAGTGTCAGTACAGTTACAGTGTACAGTTGCGGACTGTACAGTTATGACTGTACAGTTACGGTACAGTCATATTGTCAGTACAGTTAGTGTAGCAGTACAGTTACGGTACAGCCATATTGTCAGTACAGTTAGTGTAGCAGTACAGTTACAGTACAGTCGTAGTGTCAGTACAGTTACAGTGTACAGTTGCGGACTGTACAGTTATGACTGTACAGTTACGGTACAGTCATATTGTCAGTACAGTTAGTGTAGCAGTACAGTTACGGTACAGCCATATTGTCAGTACAGTTAGTGTAGCAGTACAGTTACAGTACAGTCGTAGTGTCAGTACAGTTACAGTGTACAGTTGCGGACTGTACAGTTATGACTGTACAGTTACGGTACAGTCATATTGTCAGTACAGTTAGTGTAGCAGTACAGTTACGGTACAGCCATATTGTCAGTACAGTTAGTGTAGCAGTACAGTTACAGTACAGTCGTAGTGTCAGTACAGTTACAGTGTACAGTTGCGGACTGTACAGTTATGACTGTACAGTTACGGTACAGTCATATTGTCAGTACAGTTAGTGTAGCAGTACAGTTACGGTACAGCCATATTGTCAGTACAGTTAGTGTAGCAGTACAGTTACAGTACAGTCGTAGTGTCAGTACAGTTACAGTGTACAGTTGCGGACTGTACAGTTATGACTGTACAGTTACGGTACAGTCATATTGTCAGTACAGTTAGTGTAGCAGTACAGTTACGGTACAGCCATATTGTCAGTACAGTTAGTGTAGCAGTACAGTTACAGTACAGTCGTAGTGTCAGTACAGTTACAGTGTACAGTTGCGGACTGTACAGTTATGACTGTACAGTTACGGTACAGTCATATTGTCAGTACAGTTAGTGTAGCAGTACAGTTACGGTACAGCCATATTGTCAGTACAGTTAGTGTAGCAGTACAGTTACAGTACAGTCGTAGTGTCAGTACAGTTACAGTGTACAGTTGCGGACTGTACAGTTATGACTGTACAGTTACGGTACAGTCATATTGTCAGTACAGTTAGTGTAGCAGTACAGTTACGGTACAGCCATATTGTCAGTACAGTTAGTGTAGCAGTACAGTTACAGTACAGTCGTAGTGTCAGTACAGTTACAGTGTACAGTTGCGGACTGTACAGTTATGACTGTACAGTTACGGTACAGTCATATTGTCAGTACAGTTAGTGTAGCAGTACAGTTACGGTACAGCCATATTGTCAGTACAGTTAGTGTAGCAGTACAGTTACAGTACAGTCGTAGTGTCAGTACAGTTACAGTGTACAGTTGCGGACTGTACAGTTATGACTGTACAGTTACGGTACAGTCATATTGTCAGTACAGTTAGTGTAGCAGTACAGTTACGGTACAGCCATATTGTCAGTACAGTTAGTGTAGCAGTACAGTTACAGTACAGTCGTAGTGTCAGTACAGTTACTGCATGGATGCCAGTTGAGGACTGCAGGTAAGTATTTTAACATCTACACTCAGAAGAACAAATGGGTCAGATCTGTTCAAATATTGACGCACTTTGGTCACGTAGCACTGATACGTCCTGTTGTCATGATAAACTGGGTCATGATGACGCATAGCAATGGCAAAATGGCACCGTTATTTGGACAAAATCTCACTAATGTCTCTGAGTGTATTTATCTATTTAATAGGTACGCCAGCTGATACCTAAAGATAAACAGATAGTAAACAGGAATAGGCAGATAGAGGAACGGAGATACGCTCGTGCTTAGCGCCTTAGCAACAGCCTAAGCTGCAGCACTAAGCGCCTGAGAAACGCTAAGCAACAGCGTGCCTGAGATACGCTAAGCAACAGCCTAAGCTGCAGCACCAAGCGCCTGATATACGCTAAGCAACAGCCTAAGCTGCAGCACTAAGCACCTGAGATACACTAAGCAACAGTCTAAGCTGCAGTGCTAAGCGCCTGAGATATGCTAAGCAACAGCCTAAGCTACAGCACTAAGCGCCTGAGATACGCTAAGCAGCGGCAGGTGTCGCCTATATATATGCACGCACTAAGCGTCTCACAAAGAAGCTGCTTCTTTTATCTGCTAAAGCACGAAAGTGTGAGCAGTCCGAACTGTCGAGTCACTACAACCATCTTCAAACTATCGTTAAGTAAACAAGTATAGAATTATTTCTCGAGCAAGTTTTTGACCTAAGTTTTAAGTGAGTTGGCCGGCAAGTTTTAAATAGGTTGAATAAGTTAGCCGACCCTGTCAGGAGATATCCGCAATACAGACGCCCGTAGCGTTCACGCAATGAATGTGAAGTACTTTTCCTGCTTCTCATTGGTACGTGGTACATTTGTGTCTTGTGCTACTTGAACACGATTCCAAGTGTCGACTTCCACGTCACCAGCCAGCTGAACTCAAGAGCTTCTAGCTGATAAGGAAGCTGCCCTTATCTCCCGGACTCTCGGTTATGAAGCTAACTTTTCGTGAACTCTCGACTATCTGTTGTGAGGAAGGTGATCCGAGCGAACATTACCGAAACGCAACGCTGTACGAAATTATTTGCAAATACACATGAGTTCCTAAACTGCTCGCTCGCTCGCCAGCCAGGACACGCCAGCTAAGATGCCAAGCATGATTATATAAAGCGATATTTTCTTCATGAATTATCTATCAAATGGAATGAAACATTTACTCTTATTTCGTTTTAGCATGATATATGAGTGTACCTAGTAATTTTATTTTTCAACGTGTCAAGGCTTTTAAATAAACTTTAAACTAAATTTCAAGTCCGTGATGCACACAAAGGACACTCGACATAGGTGTTTAACTCAGTTATTTTTATCACTTTTATCTATTTCAGGCTTGGTTAAAACTTTCAAAATGCATTGCAATACTTGATAATGGTTAGAATAAAACCCGAGTAACTTTTTGACCGTCTTTGCGCAATAGAAGAGGTAATATTTATTAAAAAGAAAATTTATGGTCTAGATGTTTGTGGCAAGGCGTCGTTCACCCCCTTAGATCTTCCCTGAGCATCCCCCAATTTGTTCCCCCCACTGCAGCACCCCTAAATATCCCCGTCATACTGGCCTCCACTCATCCACCCCACCGTCCTCCCGCATCCACTTCCCGCCTCTGAGACCTTAAGGCTAGAAAATACTCCACCTCACAGTTGTTTATCTTCGTTGTTCCATCACTACCCATGTTGAAACTGTCTCAAACACCATAAAAAGTTTATTTAGTTTAGTTTGTAAACTTTTTTCGTCGATAACCACCGTATGAGCTACTATAAATAATCGAGAGCAAGCAAAATTCTGGCGTGAACTTCGTGGTCCACAAGTGCTCAGGCTGAAGCAGTGTTGGGGTTGATGTGGCAGTTGCGTGCTGAGTGTTGTAAGAATAACATGTGCGCAGTACACGCGGTCTACACGTGACACGCACCTCTACTATAACCTAGCCAACCTGTTTGTAGCTAAAATCATAATTTAGTTCTTGTGGTCTTGTCTGTCAAATTTTCAGTGTGCCATTTTAATATTCGTTTTTAATGTTTATTTGTCGAAGTGGATTCATAGAAATTATTATTTTGAAACTAGGAAAGTGAAGTCGGACTATTATTGTTGGAAATTCAAGGTCGTTACTCAATCAAGGTAAGTTTTCCATGAAAGATGATAACCTGTCCTGCTGTTGAAGATCTCGATCATTTCTCTTATAATTGCCCTGTTGATTAATTTTCACTGCAGTGCAGCTAGCCAGCAATACACCTTGTGCTTTCATTTATTCGTCGTACGCCATTTATTCGATGTACGCCAGTACGCCAGGGAAGAAAGTTGCCAATATGCTTGCTAAAAACGGAAGTGTAACCCTCGCCAATGCTGCATGATCGACACAGGCACACGTACTTTACGATTGATGCCTGGCGATCGTCACAAACACACGTGCTTTACTGCTTTACGATCTATATAGCCGATGCCCAATGATCAACACTGATGCGCGCTCTTTACGATCAAAGTGGCTGATGCCTAATGATCAACACAAGCACACGCAATTTACGATCGGTTTAGCCGATGCCCAATGATCAATAGTGATGCGCACTCTTTGCGATCAAAGTGGAAGATGCCTAATGATCGACACAAGCGCACGCGATTTACGATCGGTTTAGCCGATGCCCAATGATCAACACAGAAGCGCGCTCTCTGCCATCAAAGTGGCCGATGCCTAATGATCGACACAAGCGCACGCGATTTACGATCGGTTTAGCCGATGCCCAATGATCAACACAGAAGCGCGCTCTCTGCCATCAAAGTGGCCGATGCCTAATGATCGATACAAGCGCACGCGATTTACGATCGGTTTAGCCGATACCCAATGATCAACACAAAAGCACGCTCTCTGCGATCAAGTGGCCGATGCCCAATGATCGACACAAGCGCACGCGATTTACGATTGGTTTAGCCGATGCCCAATGATCAACAGTGATGCGCACTCTTTGCGATCAAAGTGGAAGATGCCTAATGATCGACACAAGCGCACGCGATTTACGGTCGGTTTAGCTGATGCCCAATGATCAACACTGATGCGCGCTCTCTGCGATCAAAGTGGCCGATGCTTAATGATCGACATAAGCGAATAACACAAAATATGGTAACACTAACAATATGGTATTAACAACACAACACATTGCAACACAAAATATCACTGCACAACAGCACTGCACTATTCGTGTCACTCACTCCTTCCTTGCCACTCCTCCCCTCCATTTCACTCCACCCCTCTTTCGTGTCACTCACTCCTTCCTTGCCACTCCTCCCCTCTATGTCATTCCACCCCTCCTTGTCACTCCACCCCTCCTTGTCACTCCACTCCTCCTTGTCACTCCACCCCTCCTTGTCACTGCCTCTCCCTCTCAACGCTCGCCAACTTTCATTTAACTTTCTTTGCTAACTTTTTCGAGCAAAGTTTGCAGGTCTCAAAGTTTTTAATGTCACAAGTTTGGCCATTGCTCGTCTTGCGCTGCCGTGGTGGTGATGGTGGTGAGTGTGGTGGTGGTGATGTGTAATGTTTGTGGTGGTGGTAGTGGCGGTGATGTGTAGTGATGCAATGTGTAATGTTTGTTGTGGAGATATTGGTTGTGAGTGTGGTGGTGGTGATGTGTAATGGTTACAGTGGTGTTACTGGTGGTGAGTGTGGTGGTGGTGATGTGTAATGTTTGTGCATTAGAAGGCACTAGATCGTAATCGAACGCACTAGATTGTAATAGAACGCACTAGATCTAAGATCGCATTAGAAGGCACTAGATCGTAATAGAACGCACTAGATTGCATTAGAAGGCACTATATCGTAATAGAACGCACTATATCGTAATAGAACGCACTAGATCGCATTAGAAGGCCCTAAATCGCCTTAAAACGCATTAGTATGCACTAAAATGCTCAAAACCAGATGAGGACGTACGTCGGGACAAGCCAGATCTCCCAGAAGCGGACGTATGCCAAGACAAGCCAGATGCGGACGTACGGTACGTCGGGACAAGCCGACGTACCGTATGACAAGCCAGATGCAGACGTACGTCGAGACAAGCCAGATTCGGACGTACGCCGGGCGTGTGCGCCAATAACGTTATTTTAGCTCTTTGTACGCCGCGTTGTACGCCAGTAGAAGGGCTTGGAGCCTCGTTTACGCCGGATTAATCCGCGGAAAATGGCACCATCCTGGGTATGGTCATGTATAAATAGGTTTTATTAACGTGCTCGTTCACCAATCACCATTAAATGCTTTATTATCATCACTGTTGCATTCATGAATTGTGAGTACCTGACTCCAGGTTTTTGTTATACCTATGTAGGCTATGTTAACTAATTCACCTTAAACAAATTTTTTCACATATGTTATCTAATTTTTAATAATTATTTAGAGTTTAGACTGTTTGTGTAAAGTCTGATACCTAAGTATTCACAAATTCATTGCATTTTATTCATCTTAGAGTCACTTTAGTTCAGAGCAAATCATAAAAATAAATGTCATTATTAAATCATAATAAATTATCATAGGAATAAATGACATTATTAATTATTAAATATTGTCTCGAATGATAAAATAAGGAGTAGCTTCTGGCGTGTGGACAGAAGCTACTCCTTATTTATTTTTATTTATTATACAAGCCAGATGTACTCCTACTCCGTACGTCCGCATCTGGCTTGTCTTGGCATACGTCCGCTTCTGGGAGATCTGGCTTGTCCTGACGTACGTCCTCATCTGGTTTTGAGCATTTTAGTGCATACTAATGCGTTTTAAGGCGATTTAGGGCCTTCTAATGCGATCTAGTGCGTTCTATTACGATATAGTGCGTTCTATTACGATATAGTGCCTTCTAATGCAATCTAGTGCGTTCTATTACGATCTAGTGCCTTCTAATGCGATCTTAGATCTGGCGTGTATAAATACATTATTCGCCAGCTAGAGTGCATGGACAGTAAGAATGCCATGCAGAATATCTAGAGGACTGGAACAGTCCGAACAGAATGCTGTTGTGTTGGCATTTTCGTTCAGTTCTTTGTTTATTTGTCCATGTGTTTTGTTATAGAAGAACCTAGAATGAATTACAAAAATAGTTGGTGATGATTCCTGTATAAATTATTCAGGGAATATTCATTATATTCAATTGCAGGAATAGATTTTCATCTATTGAATATCTAGTTAATCTATTAGGTCAGTTCGTTAGTGCGACCGGCAACGTTGTGCTATGAAAAGTCTTATAGTTTTCTGTACCTGTACAGGGTGGAAGCGTAGCCTTCGTATTTTCATTTTTATCCCTAGATATTTGTGATAACAATCTTATGTTTGGCTTGTACTAGGTTGAAGCATGGTGAAGGGGGGAGGGGAGGTGGGAGGGAGGGTGGGGCTGCGGGAGACCGGAGTGCGCTCGTCGTTTGTTTACTACGCCTAGCGGCCCAAGTGCATGCAGCGGCCCAAGTACACGTAGCGGCCTAAGTACACGTAGCGGCTGATCTCTCGTCTGCGATTAGGGAGTTTAGCTTGAAAAGCCATCAGTGATTGGCTGACGGAATGACAAACTTGTAACTATTTTAGATAGTAAGGTCTCTGGCCGGCATGGTGCGTTGCTCCTAGAACCTCAGGCTCAGCATGCATGATCAATATGCTTTGCAACATTAATTATTATAATCATTGATTAATGTGAATAATAATGACTAAGGTTTAATGTTTTTAATGACTTTTACGTTTGTCTGGTCGCGCGAAACCGGTTGAGATTGCGTCAGAGAATTGATACACCACGCAGGCATGTGTGCGTGTTAAGCGTGACCTACACCACGCAGGCATGTGTGCGTGTTATGCGTGACCTACACAACGCAGGCATGTGTGCGTGTTATGCGTGACCTACTCCACGCAGGCATGTGTGCGTGTTATGCGTGACCTACACCACGCAGGCATGTGTGCGTGTTATGCGTGACCTACACCACGCAGGCATGTGTGGGATATGACGTGACTCACGAAAAATGAATAACGCGGTTATAAATTATGAAATGAATAAATGAACGCGTTTAAATGAATAACGCATACTTACTCCACTCAATAGAAAAGATTCTTATAATTCGTGCAATTAACTTCCAATAATCAAAGTGTTATCGTAATTTGAGCCTTATCCGCTAATGAATATTTTCAATCTTCATCTCGTGTATATATTGGTTGATGACAAACGAGTAGAATGATATATAAACTTTTCAAATAAAACTTCAGTAAAATAATTTTGTTCTTAAGATGATTCTCATTGAAACTTTCCCCAGGAAACTTTTGCAATGAAATGAGACTCAGGATCTTAGATAACGCGCGCCAGCAGCCAGTTTGTTGATGTGCTATCAGCTGGCTGCTGATGCCGGCTGGCTGATGTGCTATCAGCCGGCTGCTGATGCCGGCTGGCTGATGTGCTATCAGCTGGCTGCTGATGCCGGCTGGCTGATGTGCTATCAGCCGGCTGCTGATGTACTATCAGCCGGCTGCTGATGCCGGCTGGCTGATGTGCTATCAGCCGGCTGCTGATGCCGGCTGGCTGATAACGAACAATTTCCAGTTTTCATTCTGTGACGAACACGTCTGCGATGAAGCCCCATGGACTCTGTGATAAAAGACTCATAACTCAGTTATAAATTCCTCCACAACTGTGATCACAACATTTATCGCAGGCCAATTGTAAAATCGTACCTAAATCTCTTCAAATCTATGAGCATCATCAACTCGGCTATGAAGACTAAATTATGAAATTTTAAGAAATTGGGCTATGAAATTTTTAGTATATCGTGTACATGCAGACGCGCGTGCATAGCATTTTCTTATAAATACATATTGCTCTCGTGTGTGAGCGTGTGTGAGCGTTCCCCAGTTAAAGTATGTTCCAAATAATAATACTTGCATATAATAATACTTGCATAATGCTTGTGTTGAGTGACGGATTATTCGTGTTGAAGTTAGTTAGTCAAATGGGAATCGATACGTAGAAATGCAAGGGTCGATAGCAAGCCACTGCCGCGGAGCAAGTATACCAGTCTTGCATATTACATGTGCTGTTTGTACACTTGTTAAGCAGGTGTACTAACACCTGCATTATGTACATATTCTTTGTACTCCTCACTCAGGTACAAAGTTTCTTGGATATCTCCGTGCACCAGTACAGAGTTTCTTGGATATTTTTATGGGTGAAAAGAAATGTTTTGGTTGTTTTCATATATATAATTCAACTATCCATATAAGGTCCATGCCACTTCAATCCCATGTGAATAGCCAAGTATCTGTGATACGCTTGTGCATCTGGGATACGCGTGCGCACCTATGTTACGGAGTTTGATTGGGGAAGCGATGCAGTATCGCAATGAACCTTAATTTACACCCCCCGTGTTGGGGAAAGGGAGGAGGGGGTAATGTGGTGGGGAGGAGAGGAGGGGGTAATGTGGTGGAAGGTCAGGTGCTGGAAGGCAGGTGGAGGTGGGGCTGATTTAGAGTCTGGTAAGAGAGTAGAAGTTTTAATTGTAAAACTTTGCTTTCTGTCCAACATGTGAGCTGGCAACTTTTGCGTTGCTGCTGCTGCTGCGCGATGGTGGTGGTGGTGGCTTGGTTGTGGAGTGGTCTTGGTAGTGGTGATAGTCATGGTACTGGCTTGACGATGTGGTGGTGATTAGTGATGATAGCGGTGGTCATGGTCTGGCTTGATGGTGGTCTTGGTAGTAATGGTGATAGTCTTTCATCTGTCTGCTTTAGGGGCTGTCTGTAAAGCATGGCCTTTAAGGTCGAGACATCGGCGTCACTTAACCAGCTTCCCGTCAGCGATCTCGACCTTGAATCTACACCTACGCACGGAGTTGTTGGTTCGTTCAAAATGTTCAATTGAGGATCAATGTGTTAACTGCAGGACCGCGTCGCTGGTTCAGCATCGTCTGCACCGATAGTCAAGCAAGCATCGTCTGCACCGATAGTCAAGCAAGCATCGTCTGCACCGATAGTCAAGCAAGCATCGTCTGCACCGATAGTCAAGCAAGCATCGTCTGCACCGATAGTCAAGCAAGCATCCTCTGCACCGATAGTCAAGCATGCATCGTCTGTATCGATCGCAAAGCGCCGCATGTTGCATGGATCATCGAACACTTCGTACGGAACCTGAATCTTGGACTAGAAAAATTATTGAACTTAAATCGCAATCGTTGATCTCCGTTCGCATCCATGTAATTTGAGGCGTCTCCAGAGCAGTCTTTGTACCTCATTTACTATCAGGAGGATAACGTGGTGAACTGGAGGGGCTTGTGATGAACTGAAGGGGCTGGTGGTGAACTGTAGAGTTTGGTGTTGAACTGGAGGGGCTTGTGATGAACTGAAGGGGCTGGTGGTGAACTGTAGAGTTTGGTGTTGAACTGGAGGGGCTGGTGATGAACTGAAGGGGCTGGTGGTGAACTGAAGGGGCTGGTGGTGAACTGTAGGGTTTGGTGTTGAACTGGAGGGGCTGGTGATGAACTGGAGGGTTTGGTGATGAACTGGAGGGTTTGGTGAAGTGGAGGGTCTAGTGATGAACTGGAGGGACCGTATTGACGTGCCGCATATCGTAAGCTTAATGCTTTCATTGAGCATACCATTATTCTCCGTACAACTGTGTAATATTTTAGATTTTTGCTATTCAAATGTTTCAAAATCTTTCGTAATGCTAGCCTCGAGATTTCGATCAGATTCAGGTTCCATGAAATTCAGGGGGTCATTAAATATATTTTAATAAATAAATTGGTTATTAAAATTCGTACTAACTAGAAGAAATGTATAAATTTAAGACGCAACTTGCTTCTCAGTTTTATAGCTCTATTTTATGCTTATCTAATCTAATATATAAATGGTTTATGACATAGATAAGGAATATCTAAATGCAGTTGTATGGCGCCAAACGAGCATGGCGCTCTCCGGGATTTGACTTATGATTCTAAATCAATAAACATCTCAGCTAGAAAAACAACAGACTTAAGATTATTATTTTGTTTTAATTCCGATTAAAAAAGGGGAAATTGGTACAATGGTACGTTGGGGATAACATTTCGACAAACACGATTTATATGCTATAAACTTCTGAGCTGGATTCATTTTTGTGCTTAAAAATTAGCCAATTCCTAGATTTAAATTTAAAGTTATGCAGAAACCTGGTGTTAAGAGGAGCTCTGCAGTTTCAATTCATTATTCATTCACCTACTCGTTCACTCTCTTATTCATTCAAATACTAAGTCACGCTCTTATCGATACATTCATACGTTGACCCAATCATTCACGCACATATCTATGAATTCATACGTTGTTCCAATCATTCACGCACATATCTATGCATTCATATGTTGACCCAATCATTCACGCACATATCTATGCATTCATACGTTGACCCAATCATTCACGCACATATCTATGCATTTATCCATTGCCAAATTCATTCATCCACATCACTTGTCATCCGCAACTTCATGAATTGTTTAGTCAACAACCGCATTTACTGCAAGCATCACAGTTCTTGATAATCCTGACCCACCAATGAATGGTTTGAACAAACCTAGACTTCAATACTGTTATCCAAGCTAGTTGTCATCAAGGTAAATGGCCTTCCCAATGCTTGTACAGACAAATAGTCTTCCCCAAGCACATGGTCGTCCCCAAGCATCGCATGTGTGTCGCCTTACCACGAGTTGGGGAATAGAGGGGATGGCTGCGGCATGCGCTCACTTCCTCTCGGCTACAGTTTCTTCTCCCTGCCACTCCCATCTCCCTTCCCACTCCCATCTCCCTTCCTACTCCCATCTCCCTTCCCACTCCCATCTCCCTTCCCACTCCCATCTCCCTTCCCACTTAGACCCCCTCCTCTCCCCTTTAACCCTATTTTACTCACCTCATCCGCCCTTCTCTTTCAGGCATTGTCCTTGTCTCAACTTTTATTTCCCTATCCACAGTTTTTCTTCAGCCATTCCCCCTTATCTAATTTTTCCCCGTCTTTTCTCCTTATCCCCAATCCACCTATTTTCATACGGCTATTTATACACCATTAAATACAATATTTATACATTATTTTGATCCAGCACATCCCTTCTATCCATCCTTAACTTTCCGTAATTGGCCTCTTGGATGCCTATTTCCTCCAGCCATTGCCCCTTATTCGCCTCTTCTGCTCCAATCATTTACTCTAGCCACCTTTTCCTCCTTTTTCCCGTTTTTCTCGTGTTTATTCGCATAGAAAAAAAGATTTTTACAGACGAATTATCTCAAGGTATTCTTATATCCTAAATACTAGAAACTAGAACTAAATTCTCACGTATTATGAAATTACGAGCAGCGAAAGATTGATCTATTCTTATTCCATGTTTTAATTTCGGTTTTAAAAGCCCTGCTGTACTCAATTAATGCATTTCGAAACCTGTGATCCATCACACGTCTACTAAGATATGCAGAGAAACTTAGCCACCAAAGGTCAGATTAACACGATATTGAACACATGCAAGTTATATTTATTCGTCTTGATCGGATTAACGCTATCAAAACTTAGCAGTTCGGATTAACACGTTGCATATAGAACCCATGAAATATATACTAATTCTTGACACCAAAGCTTTGATTAAAACTACGTCTATATAACAAATGAAATATATTTCTCCTTGACAAAGGAAATTTAAATAGAAGAACTTAGTGAGAACATTGCGTGGCGCGAGTGCGTGTGTCATGCAGAGGGCTGGACGATGTAGAAGTTCGAAGTAGCCAGAAGTTCGCCGCGGTGCAAAGTTGGAGTAAAAAGTTCTAGAAGTTATAACTTGTAAAAAGTTGCAAATTGTACAGAGAAAAGTTTCTCGCTGTAAAAAGGTTAATGTTGCAAGAAGTTAGATGTTTGAAGTTAGATGGTGTTGTAAGTTAGATGTTGCTGAAATTTAAATGTTGTTGAGTGTTGAATGTTGAGAGCTTGATGTTGTTCAGAGTTTGATGTTGTTAAACAAATGTGGTGTAGAAAGTTCTAACTTGGAAATGTTCGAAGGTGCAAAAAGGAATAATATATTTTAACTTTAGTTAACATAAATTGCTTCATAATGTTGAATTAATTCCAGCCGCGACCTCATATCGTTGTTGCCGTGACCTCATATCGTTGTTGCCGTGACCTCATATCGTTGTTGCCGTGACCTCATATCGTTGTTGCCGTGACTTCATATTGTTGTTGCCGTGACCTCATATCGTTGTTGTCATATCGTTGCCGTGACCTCATATCGTTGTTGCCGTGACCTCATATCGTTGTTGCCGCGACCTCATATCGTTGTTGCCGCGACCTCATATCGTTGTTGCCGTGACTTCATATCGTTGTTGCTAAGATTCGTATCACCCAATCAATTAGATAAGAACAATCAACGTATCAATCAACGTATCAACGTTAACCGCTACGTTAACTCTTAACTTGACACTCAGGTGTTGAAATATCAACTCAAAGCTCGCTGCAAATTTGACTTGGAATTTACTCGCTATTGTTAGTAAATTCAACAGTCACTACTCACTAGCTGGTCATTGAAAATCGACAGCGCCTCCGTACCCTGGCGTTCACTGCTGGCTTTCAGAGTTAGGACGTGGATTGAACTTTCGTCCTGTAATACCACTCCCTCAGGTCCCAAACTGATCTAACCCTGGGACGGCTCGCCAGTTCCTTCCCTCACGACCCAAACTAGACACAAACGGAAAAGCTCCCTAGTCCGTACCTTAGGTCCCAAATTATCATAGAAACCAAAAAATGGGGCTACTAAACTTATGTGAGATGTTACCGGTTTCAAAAGCTGCTCTAGTGTGGCTGCTGCTGCTAATGTTATTGACACCAGTGCTGCTGCTAGTGTTGTTGTCAGTGCTGCTGCTGGTGTTGCTTGCTAGTGCTGCTGCGGCACTAGACCTTTCCAAGAGTAATGGGTAAATTTAAATGCCCAGTTCTGTACATACCAATTCTGTGACATCGCCACAAAAAGCTGTGCGGTTCAATGCATGACGTTTTTTTCTGTTGCAGGCACGGCAAGAAACCTTCCTCCATCCCCGACACACAGAGCTACTCTGACTCACTAAGCGTCCATTCCTGAGATACTCTGACCCACAACGGCCAACCCCGAGCTACTCAGATCCGCTACAACGGCCATTCCAGAGATACTCTGACCCCTACAACGGCCCAGAGCTACTCAGACCCGCCACAACGGCCATTCCAGAGCTACTCAGACCCGCCACAACGTCCCAGAACTACTCAGGCTCACGACAAAATTCATTATATCCCCACGAGACGAGCGTCTCGCTGAGTCTGGATACATCGTCAACTCTGCACCCATCTTCTAGATTCATCGTCGCTGCTCACGACATCCCGATAAAAGGTTCCATTTAACTGTCTCTATTTCATTATTCAGAGTCTCGCTAACTGTTAGTCTGAGATCGTGACCTGCGTCATATATAATCCTCCTGCAATTTTTTCGTTCAACAATAAAATTTGAAGTAGAAGTGATTTATTCATGACGGATTTTTATGTAACCTCTGCTTTTATCAATTTACGAAAGCTTCTCCTGTCTGCCGTGAGATATCTAATTACAGTTCTGATTGCTCGTGTCATTTTTAGGTATAGCGATGCGTGATTGGTTGCTGATAAATTATGCGTGGGTGACATCGGTGGTGTGGTTGTTAGGTTTGGTGACGCGTGATTGGCCACTGATTGGTGACCATGTTATTGTATCATGTTATTAACAAAGTGTCGTAGTTGTTGAATGTTGAGTATAATGGCACGTGATTGGCCGCTGATTGGTGGGGATGTGGTGTACGTAGGTGGTGTGGTCGGCAGTGGTGGTGAAGGCGCAGCTATTGACTCCTTCAGCAGGAGCGTCGCCCCCTCCCCTGTGATGCTTGCAGCGGCCGCAGCCGCAGCTGCTCAGCACAACCCCAACAAGAGGTCCCGGATAGACAGCATCAGGTGAGGGTAACTTGAGTGAGGGTAGTGAGGGGAACCTGAGTGAGGGTAGTGAGGGTAATTTGAGTGAGGGTAACTTGAGTGAGGGTAGTGAGGGTAACTTGAGTGAGGGCAGTGAGGGTAACTTGAGCGAGGGTAGTGGGGGTAACTTGAGTGAAGGTAATTTGAGTGAGGGCAGTGAGGGGAACTTGAGTGAGGGTAGTGAGGGGAACTTGAGTGAGGGTAGTGAGGGGAACGTGAGGGTAGTGAGGGGAACTTAAATGAGGGTAATTTGAGTGAGTGCAGTGAGGGTAACTTTAGTGAGGGCAGTGAGGGTAACTTGAGTGAGGGCAGTGAGGGTAACTTGAGTGAGGGCAGTGAGGGTAACTTGAGTGAGGGTAGTGAGGGGAACTTGAGTGAGGGGAACTTGAGTGAGGGTAGTGAGGGTAACTTGAGTGAGGGTAATTTGAGTGACGGCAGTGAGGGTAACTTGAGTGAGGGTAGTGAGGGTGAGTGAGGGCAGTGAGGGTAACTTGAGTGAGGGTAGTGAGGGGAACTTGAGTGAGGGGAACTTGAGTGAGGGTAGTGAGGGTAACTTGAGTGAGGGTAATTTGAGTGACGGCAGTGAGGGTAACTTGAGTGAGGGTAGTGAGGGTAACTTGAGTGAGGGTAGTGAGGGTAACTTGAGTGAGGGCAGTGAGGGTAACTTGAGTGAGGGTAATTTGAGTGAGGGCAGTGAGGGTAACTTGATTGAGGGTAATTTGAGTGAGGGCAGTGAGGGTAACTTGAGTGAGGGTAACTTGAGTGAGGGTAGTGAGGGTAACTTGAGTGAGGGTAGTGAGGGGAACTTGAGTGAGGGTAGTGAGGGGAACTTGAGTGAGGGCAGTGACGGTAATTTGAGTGAGGGTAGTGAGGGTAACTTGAGTGAGGGTAGTGAGGGGAACTTGAGTTAGGGTAACTTGAGTGAGGGAAGTGAGAGTAAGGTTGATCATTGTAGCATGGACAGTGTCAAGTGATGGAGAATAATTGAAACGAGGGTAAGCTTGACTAAATAGATAAATAATTTAATTGGCATCCTGTTCATCCCAAAGCTACCCTTTATTCCCGGATCCCCTTAGAACCACCCTCTCTTTTCCCCCTTGCTCCCTATGTTTTTTGTTTAATTTAAAATAAACAGTGATTTGATTTAATATAAACAGGGATATTTATAGTTGAATTGGGTAAGCAATGATATTGAAGTTTTAAATTGTCTCTTCACTTCACGCAAATCCACTTGTCCTTCTTGCACCCCTAAAACCCTTCCAACCCCCTGTATCCCCTAAAACCCTTCCAACCCCCTGTACCCCCTAAAACATCTCCAACCCCCTGCATTCCCAAACCCCACAACCACTCATACCGCCCCCTACCCCCAGTACAACCAACACTCCCAAACCCCCCATATTCCCCCTAACCCCCCCCTGTCCCCCAGGGTTAACAGCAGCAGCCAGGTGAGCAACGGCCCGATGACGGGGGGTGCGGCCCTGCACGCGCGGCCGCTGGTGGCCCTGCTGGACGGCCGCGACTGTGCCATCGAGATGCCCATCCTCAAGGACGTGGCCACCGTCGCCTTCTGTGATGCACAGAGCACCTCTGAGATACATGAGAAGGTAATGAGAGTTGTCAGGGTAATTAGAGGGAGATGAGGTTAATGAGATGGTTATGAGGGTAATGAGAGGGTGATGAGCGTAATGAGATGGTTATGAGGGTAGTGAGAGGGTTATGAGGGTGATGAGGGTAATGAGAGGGTTACGAGGGTAATGAGAGGGTTATGAGGGTAATGAGAGGGTTATGAGGGTAGTGGGAGGGTTATGAGGGTAGTGGGAGGGTTATGAGGGTAGTGAGAGGGCTTTGAAGGTAATGATGGATGTAACTTGAGGGTGATGAGGGTAACGTGAGTGTTATGAAGGAAATAAGAGGTTTACAGAAGTAACTTGGAAGAGATGAGGCTAACGTGAGGGCAACGTGAAGGTTATGGGGTAACTGAGGGTAATGAGAATAAAAGGGGAGCATAGGAATAATGAAGGTTATAGGAAGTATACATATGACATGTATACATGAGATACTAATGTATACATGAGATACTAATGTATAGTGAGTATTGCGACCCTGAGACGCCCTTTGGTTGCTGCAGGTGCTGAACGAGGCGGTGGGGGCGCTCATGTGGCACACCATCAGCCTGACGAAGGAGGACCTCGAGAAGTTCAAGGCGCTCAAAATCATCGTCAGGATCGGCAGTGGCATCGACAACGTCGACTCTAAAGTGAGTCAACTGGCGTGTTGATTTAACTCGAAAGTGTGTCAACTGGCGTGATAATTCGACTCGAAAGTGTGTCAACTGGAGTGTTGATTTAACTCGAAAGTGTGTCAACCGGCGTGTTGATTTAACTCGAAAGTGTCAACTGGCGTGTTGATTCGACTCGAAAGTGTGTCAACTGGCGTGTTGATTTAACTAGAAAGTGCGTCAACTGGCGTGTTGATTCGACTCGAAAGTGTGTCAACTGGCGTGTTGGTTTGACTGGAAAGTGTGTCAACTGGCGTGTTGATTTAACTCGAAAGTGTGTCAACTGGCGTGTTGATTTAACTAGAAAGTGTGTCAACTGGCGTGTTGATTCGACTCAAAAGTGTGTCAACTGGCATGTTGATTTGACTCGAAAGTGTGTCAACTGGCATGTTGATTCGACTCGAAAGTGTGTCAACTGGCATGTTGATCTCTGAAGTGGAAGCTTAGAAGTGTAAAGTTGAATGTTCGTGTAGTTGGTATACTAGCGTTTTGATTTTCAAACTGAATCTAAACTCCACTCCTGTTTCGTGTTACACCACCGCCTCCCTTGCGTCACTCCTTCCTTGCCACTCCACCCCTCCATTCCACTCCACCCCCTCCATTTCACTCCACTCCTCTTTCGTGTCACTCACTCGACTCCTTCCTTGCCACTCCTCCCCTCCATTTCACTCCACCCCTCTTTCGTGTCACTCACTCCTTCCTTGCCACTCCTCCCCTCCATTTCACTCCACCCCTCTTTCGTGTCACTCACTCCTTCCTTGCCACTCCTCCCCTCTATGTGTAGTGATGCAATGTGTAATGTTTGTTGTGGAGATATTGGTTGTGAGTGTGGTGGTGGTGATGTGTAATGGTTACAGTGGTGTTACTGGTGGTGAGTGTGGTGGTGGTGATGTGTAATGTTTGCACTGGTGATGAGTGTGGTGGTGTTTGTGCTTGAGATGTGTGTGTGGTGATGAGTTATAGTGATCTTAAAGATAAAGTTGTTTGTATGGCTTAAACTTTGACCAGAGAGGAGGATTCCAGTTAAGAAATGTTTAGAGTTTGTATAAGTGATAAAGAATAATAAAACCTGATGTGGTAAAAGATTAAAATAACAGACAAAGATTGCTGAACACTGATGTATACATCTGACCATTGGTACCGATTATTCTGATAATATTGATTATATCGATTATTCCACAGCCATAGGCTAGATTTTTCTCCTCGCCCCTAGGCTACCGGCACCTGAATACGAACTTTGAAAGCGATTATACTGCCTAATCCGACCGCCACAGGCTGCTGGCAAGCTCATGCGTCTGAATTTGAACATTTATACTGATTATTTCACAGTGCAGGCTGATTATCTGATTATTTCACAATGTGCAGGCAAACTTGGCTTTAGAATATTATCATTTATCCTGATTATTGTACAGGCTGCGGGCGAGCTGGGCATCGCAGTATGCAACGTGCCCGGGTACGGTGTGGAGGAGGTCGCCGACACGACCCTGTGTCTCATCCTGAACCTCTACCGCCGCACCTTCTGGCTGGCGAACATGGTGCGCGATGGCAAGAAGTTCACCGGGCCAGAGCAGGTGCGGGAGGCAGCACAAGGATGTGCCAGGATACGCGGGGACACCCTTGGCATCGTCGGGCTCGGTGAGTGCAAATGGGGCCTTGGGGGTTACCGTGGGGCTCGGTGAGTTCATTTGGGGCCTTGGGGGCTATCGTAATGCTCGGTGAGTGCATAGGGCTTTGGCGTCGTGGGGCTAGCCTGGGGCTTGGTGTGTTTAAACGACTTTGGTGTTACGGAGCTATTGTGTGTCTTGGTGATGGGGCTTTGGCGTCTTGGGGCTATCGTGGGGCTCGGTGCGTTCATAGGTCTTTAGCGACGTGGGACTATCTTGAGAATTGGTGAATTGAAAAGGCTTAAGCGCTGTGGGGCTGTCGTAGAGCTATCGTGGGGCGTGGTTAATTGGAAAAGCTTTGGCGTCGTTAAGGGGAGCGTTCGTCCTAAAATTGAAAATTTTCACTTTTTCGGTTTTTATACTCGTCTTAAAGCTGACATTCTGAGCTATCCAAAGGTACCAAAACCATCTCTGTACGTTGATTTATGCATTCACTACAGATCCCAAAAGGGGGGCGGGTGTCCGGCCCCCTTCAGTAAAGTCAAGGGAGTAATTACACGACCGTTCACTATAAAGTAAATCGTCTGACGTAAAGCGGCCAATTATGACATTCTCCAGTTACTATACCTACTCATCTTAAAGCTGCTTTTCTGACGCATTCAACGGTACCAAAACCATCTCTGTACGTTGATTTATACGTTCACTACAGATTCCAAAAGGGGGTTAGGGTGGGGAGTTCTTTAAGTAATAGCTACCAAACACTTAAAATATAGCTTGTACACGAAGTGCACCTCAGTTACCAGCAGACAGCATACGGGGAGGTGTGCATGCAGTCGCTCCCACCATCCTTGAGTGGAATCGAGCTCCAGTAACGTTTAGTTTCGTATCCTTGCTACATTGAGTGCCTATTCGCATGCTCCCGCGACTTTGTCGTGTCCTAGTGAACATTCACACTTATTGTCACTGCAAACCTATCTCCTAGAGTTTTGAAGCTACATCAATGAGACATATACCGTTCGATTTGCAAAGAAAAGATCTACAAACTGATCATGGTTTTTTTTCAAGTTCGTTATAGTTCGGATTTTAGTTTGCAAAAAGGGGAGGGGGAAGTGGAGGTAAAATCGAAAATTTCGAAAAATTTCGGACAAAATGCTCCCACACCCACAAAAATGAGAAATTCAAAAAAACCCCACGACCAGTTTGTAGATATGGTCTTTACGCATCGAATGATATGTGTTTCGATGTTGTAGCTTGAAAATCCTAGGAGGAGATAGGTTTTCTAAAGTACCCCTTTTTGGCCGTTTTCTAAGAATTTCTCGTTCTCTTTCAATTTCTTTCGAAAAATTGACAAGAATAAAACCTGAGTTTTTTTAGGGTTTACACATGTGTACCAAATTTCAAATTGATCCATCTGTAAATTACCGAGATGAAATTTAGGGCGAACGCTCTCCTTAAGCTCGGTTATTTGACCGGGCTTTTGATTATGGGGATTGGTGAGTTAACATGAATTCCTGAAGTGGTATTTTAGACGTTATGTTCTCTTAGCAAATATTGATTATTAAATTTTTACTCTTGATCAGAGCTTGTCCTACGTTCAATGCGAAATATTTAACCTGATAACCTGCTAAAACATACTATGTGTTGAATTGATAATTTTTTGTCCATTTTAGCCTAATAAATATCCAAAAATAAATATATATATATACCCATGTTTGGAATTGCAGGTCGCATCGGCTCAGCAGTGGCACTGCGGGCCAAGGCTTTTGGCTTCAACGTGACGTTTTACGACCCATACCTTCCTGACGGCATTGAGAAGTCCCTGGGGCTGACCAGGGTCTACACTCTCCAGGTGGGGTTACATTCTGCAGGAGCGGAGGGTGGGGTCTAAACTCTGCCTGAGGGTAGGGTGGGGCTACACTCTGCCTGAGGGTAGGGTGGGGCTACACTCTGCCTGGGGGGAGGGTGGGGCTACACTCTGCAGGTGGTCTACACTCTGCAAGAGGGGAGGGTGGTGTCTAAACTCTGCCTGATTAGAGGGTGAGGCTACACTCTGCAGGTGGGGAGGGTAGAGGTCTATGCTCTGCAGGTGGGGCTATACTCTGCAGAAAGGGGAGGTAGCCCCACTCTGCAGGTGCAACATTTACTGAATATCGTACTGCAATTTACCGGTACTCTCTGTATACTGCAGGAGCTACTGTACCGCTTACGTTGCGCTGGCCGCTTGATCTTTAGATTGATAATTTATTCGATTAACTACTCAAAAAATTTATTGACTAATCTGTATATATTATCTAGTCTACTTATTAAACCATTTACTGACTTTATATTGTCGTGCAGGAGCTACTGTACCAGTCCGACTGCGTCTCTCTCAACTGCACCTTAAACGAGCACAACAATCACCTCATCAACGACTACACCATCAAGCAGATGCGCCCAGGTGCCTTTCTCGTCAACACTGCCAGGGGCGCCTTGATCGATGAAGGCGCCTTAGCAACCGCCCTTAAGGACGGCCGCATACGAGCTGCTGCCCTTGACGTGCACGAGAACGAGCCTTTTAACCCCTTCGCAGGTAATTCCTATGGGTGACATTTGAATTTTTATTCTAACACTAACGGATGGGGATTGTTATTAAGTTTTTTTTGCGCATTTCTGTGAACATACCTGTTTTCTGTGTGACAACTGCCCTTAATTATTATAGGCAATACAATAAGGGCACGCTCTCAAGTTCCTGCCCGTATGGCCAGTAAGGATTCTTGCAGGTGCCCTCAAGGACGCGCCTAACCTGATCCTCACCTTGCAGGTGCCCTTAAGGACGCCCCTAACCTGTTCCTCACCTTGCTTGCAGGTGCCCTTAAGGACGCCCCTAACCTGATCCTCACCTTGCAGGTGCCCTTAAGGACGCCCCTAACCTGATCCTCACCTTGCAGGTGCCCTCAAGGACGCCCCTAACCTGATCCTCACCTTGCAGGTGCCCTCAAGGACGCGCCTAACCTGATCTGCACGCCCCACGCCGCCTACTACAGCGACGCGTCGAGCAACGAGCTCAGGGAGATGGCGGCCACGGAGATCCGGCGCGCCATCACAGGACGCATCCCCGACGTCCTCAGGAACTGCGTGAATAAGGTGAGGGTGGGGGAAGTGATGGTCACTCTGGTGGGTGGGGAGGGGTGAGGTGACTCTGGTGAGTGGGGGAGGTGAGGTGACTCTGGTGGGTGGAGTGAGGTGAAGGGAGTGGAGGGAGGTATAAACGAGAGGTGAGGGTGAACAGGAGGGAGCCGATGGTATTGAATGGGAGGTGATGGTGTAGAGAGGACAATGATTGTGTGGAGAGGACAATGGTTTTGTGAAGAGGGAGAGGTGAAGGTGGAAGAAACGTGAGGACTTGAGTAGAAAGGTGAGTGTTGTGAAGAACTGTATTGGAGTTGGTTAGGTCAGTGTGGTGAGGAAGAGGGGGAATTGTGTGGTCAAGGTGAGTGTGGGGAGGCAGACGAGAGAAATGGTTAATATGGTTATCTGTGTAGAGTGAAACTGTGATGATGATCGAAACTGTGCAAGTTGTGTAAGGCTGGTGAGTAACATGGATGTGAGTAAATGTGGTGTTGTATGTTTATTTATATATACTTTATATTTCTGAGCAAATATTATTCTCGAGAACGTATTCGTTTCTGTATTGTAGCAATTTTACGATGAACTGAAATGTCTTGTGTTGTCGCTGTTATTTTTTTATCTTTGTTGGAAAAAACAGGTTATTTACTTCCCTGTTGCGTTGCAGGAATACTTCGTATCACAGCCTCCTGTTGCCGCTGTTGCGCCCAACGTTCCACCTGTTGCACCGCACTACGTCGAGGCTGCAGCAGCTGCTGCAGGTGCAGGAGTGAACGGTGCAGGTGCAGGAGGCTACTTCGTGCCCGTACACAGCACCGCTACGCACGAGCTGGCGGCCGTTGCTGCTGCCGCTGCCGCTGCGGGGGTTACTAATATCGGTGAGATCTTAGATTAACTGATGTCAATGAGATCTCATATTCTCTAATGTCAATGAGATCTTATATTTACTAATATCGGTGAGAGCTTAAATTAACTGATGTCAATGAGATCTCATATTCTCTAATGTCAATGAGATCTTATATTTTACTAATATCGGTGAGAACTTAGATTAACTGAGGTCAATGAGATCTCACATTTCTCTAATGTCAATGAGATCTTAATTCACTAATATCAATGAGATCTTAAATTCACTCAATGGGTCTTAAATTCACTAATATCAATAAAATTTTAAATTATTTTGATCCAGAGCCTTACTTTTCAAAACTCACTTGAGTACGTGTAATGGCCTAAGTACACGTAGCTGCTTAAGTATACGGAGCGGGTGATTTAATTGTATTTGATTGATGGGTTTCGCTTAATGACCTTTTAGGTTATTAGTTGAATTTAAATATGGTCAATATTTTATTCCGTTATATCATTATAATTTTGAAAGTGATGCAACTTTAGAAACCTCGAATTTTTATACAGCGCTTTTTAACTGTTGCTGTTTACTAATTTTGTAGTTTTGGGGTAAACATGTTGACCTATTCAAGTCTACCGTATTATAACCAATAGCAGTAATTGTTGATCTCAATGAGTAGTAATTTTTAGAGATAACAATATATCTAGAGTATAGTTTCGAAATAATAAAAGTGTATTTGAATATAGAGTTGTTGGGGCAACTGGGCGAGACGGAGAATTTTAGTATTTGCTATAAACTCGCACTAACCTGGAAAATAATTTTTATAGTCATTTCACTGGTTGCCCTCGCTCTCCAATGGTTGCACCCACACCCCGCCGGTCTCACTAACGCAATCATGGTTGCAGGTGGGGCGGTTGCACCCGCTAGCATTGCTAGCCTGAGTGCTGCTAATAACCTAGTGGGCATCGGCCCCCCTGCTCCCCCAGCGTCCGCCCACCACGGCCCACCAGCCGTCGCCCTCTCCCTCGCAAACCCCACCGTCCCGCCGCCCGCCGTGAGTGTCGCGCTAGTGGGTCAACACAACCCACGGGACGACCCAAGATTCTAGTTAGTGCCACGGCACACCACTAGCGGGTAACCCATGACTGTAACTTGTGCCACGGCACACCACTAGCGGGTAACCCATGACTGTAACTTGTGCCACGACACCGCTAGCGGGTAACCCATGACTGTAACTTGTGCCACGGCACACCACTAGTGGGTAACCCACGACTGTAACTTGTGCCACGGCACACCACTAGCGGGTAACCCATGACTGTAACTTGTGCCACGGCACACCACTAGCGGGTAACCCACGACTAACTTGTGCCACGGCCCACCACTAGCGGGTAACCCACGACTGTAACTTGTGCCACGGCACACCACTAGTGGGTAACCCACGACTGTAACTTGTGCCACGACACCATCAGTATGCAACTAGACTGATTTTAGTGCAGTAATTGTACTGAGCAAACATCACTGCACTGTTGAATTCATGTATCACATCTATGACTGATGACAGGACTGACAGCAGGACTGATAAGAGGACTAATCTGGAATCACACAATGACGGTTTATCAGCTGCAACCCAATTAGCCTCCATTTTTCATTTCCTTTTTGTCGCTTTATTTTATTTACTTGTTATTTTGCACTTAATATTTTATGGGCAATTAAAAATTTATTCACAAATTCTAGCAATGCATTTGTAGAATTCTGTTGCCGAGACATTACTGTGTTCCAGTCTGTCAGTTTGCTATCTAGATAAATCTGTGTATTTCTTGAGACACTAACACCATTAAACCATTTTTTTACTTTAGTAATACTCGTAGAGAATTACCGTAATTTTTTATGGGAGAGACTGAACCGTAGATTTTTTCGTGGCATAGACTTCATATCGGCGCACTAAACACCTGCCATATCTTTCTCCTCAAGTGATGTTCACTTCAACTTAGCTTCATTTTTATCGATGATTTTCATCTTGAATTGTTGGATATCTTGAAATAATGTAGGAAATGGTTGAACAATTTTGTCCTATGATAACTTGAATGTCTCAAGTTTTGGAAGTTTCATAGTTTCGTGCGTTTTTTACATCTTTGTGCATGGAAGATTTTGCTCCGATTTTACTAAATCTAATGAATTAACGCACTTTATTTTTGTGTACAGTCAAGAAGACGTCACTCTTCTTAAGTCGCTGCCCTCCAGTACAAACACGCGATTTAATAAACAACATTTGAATGAGAAATTTCTAATTACATTTTTAATTTTGTTCAATTTTAATTATCGTTAAGCGTACTGTATTTTTTTCACGTTTACCTCCACGCTTTGGGAGTTGCGGAATTGACGTCGCAGCTCGGATCACGATTACCTATCATTTTGATTGAGGAGCGGCATTTTATATTTGTCCTTATGTTAAGTTTTGGACGTCCTCGACCATAGTAACGCTGATGTGCCACCTCCGTTGTCCGCTGTTTTCATGTTTTTGACAAACAGGTCGCCCCGTCACCATGGCCTTGGTGATGATTATTATTTGTCACTGTTGTTCAGCTTCATTATCGTTTACTAATTTTCACAAGAATCCTACCATCTTCATCCATGAACACCAGCATTTTTGTCACTCCTGATATTTACACCAAAAATAGACTTATTATTAGTTTTTGGGTTGATTTCGGTGGTCCTGTATCATATTTTTTTCTGCAGGCTACAACGGCCGGTATCAACGTAAAGCCTGACGTATCGTAAGCTGCTGTTTTTACCGTTGCTGAAACTGGTACCTCTGCTGCAATTGGTGCCTCTGCTGCAATTGGTACCTCTGCTGCTGTTGGTACCTCTGGTGCTGTTGGTACCTCTGCTGCTGTTGATACCTCTGCTGCTGTTGATACCTCTGCTGCTGTTGGTACTTCTGCTGCAATTGGTACCTCTGCTGCTGTTGGTACCTCTGCTGCTGTTGGTACCTCTGCTGCTCACCGGCGGTACCCTGGTCTCGAAGTAGCCAACCTCACCGAAATGCTATCTACAGTCTTGCCTAATGTCTATTTCGTGTTGAACGCCATAGCTTTACGATACGAGAAGACATTAACATTTGTTTTCTTTGTTCATTATATGGAGATGCCCCAGAAATTATGTTTTGTTTTTCAATTTATTGAGGTTCTCTGGGAAAAAATGCATGTTTTATATTCATAGGACGGCGATCTCTCTCAGGAATTAGTTTCCCGTTACATGTTCATATAACTGCCGAAAGTTCAAATTTTTTTTCAAAGTTTGAAGAGTTTGACCTCTATGAAGAATAAATAATATAATTTCTGATCAATTCTTGATGACTTCTGGAAAGATGTTTAAATAATTCCGATCATTTTAGGGCTATGTTGTTGGCAGGCGCGTGTACGGCTAAGAAGAGTTGGTCTGTTACTATTACTAAGCAGTTGCGGGTGTTTCCTGATGGTACAGTGAAGTATTTGTGAAGTGTACATAGAGTTAGGCGAGATGGACGGTCTTGTAAATACGTGTACAGTATTTGCTGTGCGTACACATACGGTGTGCTTCAGATATCAGTCCCCCATCGAGATACTAATTTGTAGTGCAAAAATAACCTTAGTCTTAAGTAGCTTAAGTGTGATCTGTACAAGGTAACTCTAAGAGATACTTTATGTTTAGACGCGTGGCCAAAGTTCCGTGTCAGCTTCATACTGTTAAGTATCTGCAATATTTCAGCGTAGCTTTGGTCTTCAAATCTGTCTACTCGTGGGCCTCACAGAGCTTTGGACTGAAGCTGTAAAGAACTCGCAACAATACAATCCTTCCACTTACATTTACTCTGTAAGACCTCAAGCATATGATACCGGGTAGACCTGAAGTCTTTCGATCTGTCCATTTTCGAGTCTCAGGGGCTTTGGTTTTGTGGCCATTTAGATCTCAAGTTTTTAAAAATTCCGAATTTTTATGTGAGCAACACTTAAAAGAATCTAGGACTTAGAGAGCCCCTAAGGCCTAAATTGTTTCAAACTCGCTGGATTCTATGATTTGGAAGATATTGAGATATTGTATTCCGAGGCTTTCGGAATTCTAATTCTTACAGAATGTGGGACGCATTAAATTTCAAGTGTTTATGAGATTTGCCTTCAAAGACTTACGGGATATTGATATCTGGCCCGTAAATATTCAAATAAATTATTTCAGAATAAGAGTGTCTCAAAGTTTTGTACAACATTGATCGCTCGTTGAATTTTTTGTTTCCATTGTTCCCGAGATCTCGTTTAACTTTTCGTGAGGTCGACGTCTGCACCTCGCATCGTCATTGAAGCCGTTGGCATATCTTGCCCGCTTGTCACTGGAACACCAACACACTGACCTCATTGGAGATTAAATAATATATATTTTGTAGCTGTTGCTGATGAGAAGTTCTATAAAAAATTGATTTCGTTCATGAAATTCTTATTTGGTTGGTAATCGTTTGTATTGAACGATATGCAGTGTCTGCATGGATTCTGAAGGACGGATATTCGTTGTAATATTTTGTCAGACAGATTTTCGTTAATTATTATTATCGGAATAATTTGATCTGAAATTTCCCGTGAAAAGAACATACAGTAATGGGGATTATGAAGTATCGTGTTTCTTCCACGAATGTGGTTATTGCAAGTTACCAAAATTAACCAAAACATCTCACCGATATTACGGTTCAAGTGACGGAAGTTTCCAGCTTATTTTGGTATGGCGATTATTCTGTGTAAAAAAAGTTTTGTTATAGAATGGCGTTGTCAAATGAGATGTTATCTCAGTAGCCCTTCTGTGTTGGTAGCGATGTTAGTGCGCATCTTCGGTACAAATTTTGGCATAACAGCGAAATTTTGTTGAGAATTTCTTGTTTGCCGGGTCATTCTGTTCAAGTAAAAACTGAAAATAGTTGTATATGTTTTATTGTATGCTCCATATTGTTCGTTGTGGGATTAATGAAGAAGGGTAGTAATTTGTGACTCTATTTTGTTCAGTGTTTAATAAATTCAAATCTAACTGTGGTGAAAATTATATTTATTGGGGGTGTGTCTTATTGTGAGGCTGAATGTGATTCGTGTGATAGGCAGAAAGATATTGCTTTTCAATTAATGACATTCACGTATATTATATCTTCAATTACAATTGAAGAATCATCCACGTTTACAAAGTGTCAATCCATTTGTATTTTGATTTTAAAAGAGTGTTCTGAATCGGTTTCTGTAAAGCTTGTCGAAAAATGTTTTCACTTAGGCTAGTTTTTGATAGACCGATTTATCAGAAGTCGTTTCTTTTAACATGAAATTTACATTTATAATCCAAAAGCATTCAATAATTTTGTTTTGTGATCAAGTTAAGCATGTAGATGCCAAATTGCGATTACAATAATCCCTTGGACATTTATTTGACTTGTTCTGATCTTTAAAAAAAATCCGTTGGAGTTCATCCCAAAAGTGGCTATTTTCAAGCATGCTTCAGAGTGTATATCACGATATTTATGATGTATCGGGCAAGTAAATAACGGTTGAGGGATACTATTTGAGTGGGAATTTACGATAACTTTTCTTTAAATATTTTATTTAAACATTTTGGATTTCAATTCGTAAGTTTTGTCTCACGATCAACGCTCTGGAAACAGTGAGTGAATACCTGCACTGAAATGAACGTTAATAGGCATTGAATTAATAACAATGTGCAGTGAATAAATAATAAAGTGAATTGATAATACTACTGTGCAGTGAATAATTATTAATACTGTACAGTGAAATATTGTGCAGTGAAGAGAATACTCGCGTGTGTGTCGGTGCAGTCCAATACTTGGCTCTTTATCTCATACGTCCGCTCACGGAGCTTCATACGACCTGTACTAGTTTAAGTCTTGAACGTGTGTGTTCTGCAGAGAGAATATAACTTGAAATCTTGCCGGCCGCTTTTTATTTATTTCCCTTTATTTTTGGAGTTTTATTTAAAGGAGAACAACTGAAAAATGAACAAATTAAAAATATATATATAAAATTTTAAACATAGTGTGAAAATAAGGAGTGAAATTAAGAAATGCAAACAAGCCAAGTACATCAGCATGTACTGGACCTATATGTTTAGCCGATTTACAGGTACTTCAAGGCTTGGGAAAAACCTTTGTTTTAAAGAATAAAGTGTAAATATTTTTCCATCTTGAAAGGAAATGCCGCTTCGCTTGAAGTTATTACGTCCATTTTCTCAGTGTACAATGTTGTAGACTTGTAGGACTGCAGTTTTGTTAGAAAAAGGGAATGCATATATTTTAATTAACTATCTAAAACCTCTTCAAGGTAATCCAAAGCGTAGCAATGCAATACAATTCAAATTCACTTCTGGAGGAGAGAGACGACGCAAACTTATAGTAGGATACCGCTTTCAACCTACGCGGGACTGGTACGGCACGTGTTATCTTTGCTTCGTTTTTGTCGATTTATGTGGGTGGAGACAAACGGGGAAAAACAAGCCACACCTGATGAAAATAAAAAAAGGCACCACAAAAAACTACCAATTTAATTTTTGTCGATCATTGTGGGTTGAATCAAAACGCAGAAATAAGGCCCCACCACCTCGCCCGTGATGCAATGTGAGGCGGTGGGGGAGCTCCGCATTGTCAAAGACGAATCGTGCCGTGCGGTTCATTCCTTTTCTGTGTGGCCGTCCACTCTATTCCATCTAGAATGTATCATTATCAAAGAAATATTAGTACGAGCTGCAGTTCCTCTCTGAGTTGCACAACTAATTGTATTCACAGCTCAGGCAATCTTCGTGTATGATCTTTTAGTCACACAGCGTATCTTCACAGCGCTGACTACGTAACGCGACTGCCTGCTGGTGCGTTAACTTCTGGTAGTGTCCGCTAAACTCGTGCTAACTCAAATTGGTCGCGTACTCAATTGTAATAACGACACTGTTTAATATCCCGAATATCTAGCCGATTTGATTGAAATGATAACCCACGAAACGAATAATTAAAAGTTATCAGTATGAAAACATTCTCGGGTAGAAAGAAGACGAAGAAAATTATTTAAAGTGAGGAGGGACTCAATCCATGACCGACATGCCTCAACAGTCCCTCTCGTCCCGTGCAAGGCCCCGCCACGCGAAGGTGGGCAACGCCGGCAACAGCACCACGTTCATTCCACGTTTCATTCCCAGAGAATTTTGCCAGACGCTGGATTCTTCGAGCTCGCACCTGAGGTCTAGTGGGCTCAAGCCTGTCACCCACGATATAACGAGCTCGTATTTGAGGTGTAATGGGCTCAAGCCTGTCACCCGCGATATGACGAGCTCGTACCTGAGGTCTAATGGCTCAAGCCTGTGACGAGCTCGTACCTGAGGTCTAATGGGCTCAAGCCTGACACCCGCGATATGACGAGCTCGTACCTGAGGTCTAATGGGCTCAAGCCTGACACCCACGTCCCACAATATGCCGCATTTCACTGTAAGCACATCAAGGGATGATGGGGCACGATGGAACTTAAGTGTCCTTTGATTAACTTAGGTTTATGTTCAGGGTAATGCATTGTAATTACACTAACGATAAATATGGGAGTCTAGCTCTACCATAACAGCCGTTTAACACTTACTTGACCTAAGCGAGTTCATAAATAATGATCAAAATCCCAGCTAACTTTGAAGACTGATTCACGGCGCGGGCGAGCTCATGGAACCTTCTTTGATGTCAAAGAAACATTTGAAACTTTGCCGGCGATGTAAAAAGCTATATTTCTATGTTTAATTCCTTCAAATTTTATTTCATTCGTCACAGAAAGGCTAGAAGAGACGAAAAAGTAACGGAAATGCGTTATCAGGTCATATCCACGAACGAAATCAAATTACGTACATTTTGAAAAATTTACCGGTGTGGCTTTGTTAAGCGTTGCAAATGTAATTACTTTGTCAAATCTGAACCTGTTAAACGACAGGGTCACGCAAGTCCTTTGTAAATAGCAAAAGAACGGAAAACTATCAGTGGGCTAAACACTGAATATAAAAATTAGTAACAAGATATGGAGATCTTATATTACCATTTAACTAGTCCTAGCATAGAGCGTCGGAGTAAATAGTGCATGTTTGGTGCAGAACTTGTTTTTGCCAAGAAATAGCTCATATATTTACGATCAAATCTTAGAATTTTTTGGACAAATAATCCAGTTTTCTGTGATCTTGAACCTGTAGGTTAAGTGTACGGTGACTTTAAAGGCCCATTTACATTAGGGGCAACGACATGGGCGGTGAGGCGCTTGCTGCAGCGCCTCACCGCCCACAACCGTTCACACTTAATTTTGTACATGGTAGCTCGAGACCGCGCGCTGTGAAGATTAGATGACAGTTAATAAGACGTCAGTGGATATGGATATAACCGCATTTGAGCTATGGGCCATTGTTCTCGGGTGTGCTGCTGTTAAGATTTATATGTTTAGATATGTTAAGACATATATGTTCAGATTTGAAATGCCCAGCACCTGATCAAAGCCGGTGGAAGTCTAGTAGTAGCTACTTGAAACTATCGTCAGTCATGAAAAGATCCGGTCAAATGAAACGATATTGGATCTTCTGTGGACAAGGCACGAAAAGTAAAAGAATCGGCGACAGGCCACATCAGGCCTACACTTCAGCACCGAGATCAATATGTTATGTTATAAACACGATTTACACAATTGCAATTTCAAAGAATTATCAGTTGCGAATACATCAGACTTTCAAAATTATACTAGACTGCCAGTGGACTTGTTTGACAGTCTGCTCAAGAAAATAATCCAGATGATTATTTTATAATCTGGAAATAATCCACTCATCCAGAAGCAGGATGATGGAATTGAGATGGAATTCACATGCAATGGAATTCATTTGAAATGAAATTCATTAATCACGATGGAATTGCGAAAAAACGTACCTATGAACTTTCTTGCAAATCTCGTCAATGGTGACTTGTTTACAAAAGTTTTTAAAACTTCAACTATTTTCACCAGAGCTTGTTCTTTTGCATTTCGACTTTTATTCTCCTTTGACTGAGCTCTTTACAGCCATCCATGCTCTCTACAAAGATCAATTAGCCTCTATACTAGAGAGTGAGTCCAAACACGTGTGGCGTTAGTTGCCTTAGTGAAGGACCAGCGAATTGCAGGACAACCTTGCTCGAACACAGATAGCCGTCCACGTACTGACTCACTGAGTCAGTGTCTCAGTGACTCAGTGTTGCCAGGTTTTTTCTCGGCGGGACTCAAAATACCAGAAATATACCATAAATTCTATTGTCCAAAAACAGATTATTACCTCCAAATGTAATGAAATTATTCGTCAGAAACGTTGGTTATAAGAAGAAAAAAAAAATTATCTGCCGACACTTCTATTCTATTCTTATGTACTGTGCATTTATCTAGCTTGACGATAATTAGCCAAATTGAACACGTTATATTTTTCCCTCTGTTTGGAACATTTTGACTTTTCTTTTCCTGTGTTTGATTACATTGTCACTTTTTCCTTTTTTATCACAGTGTCGCACTTCTCTCCCTTCGCTCAACATGAGCAAGCCACGGAAACAGGTAATCTTCCTTTTGCTTATTTTCGTACATGCTTGCATATTGCATTTATCTAACATTTAGGGGTTTGATCACTTGTTGCGGCTGAGCAGATGGCTTTTGGTCCGAATAACGGACTCTAGTACCTTAGTTGAAATTTCATTTCGTTGCTTGTTCTTCACATAGGTGACTTGTGAAAACATTCGCTCCACGAATGCATTGGAGACTGTACAAAACTTTAGCGCGCGACCTCCATTTTCAGCGGAAGGAAAGACATATTGAGTCGAAGTGGCGGGCGCGAACGAGAAGATAGCGGCACCTTCTGCTCTCCTCGTGTGTACAGGAGGTTTGGAGGGCGTTTAGCGGAAAGGGAAAATCAACTCTAGCTATTTTACATGGGAGACAAGATTCAGAGGCTTACAAGAACACGCTGTTTCACCAACTTCTCCCTTTAGCCGATGAGAAACATGAGGTATCATACGTTTTCCAACAAGACAATGCTTCGATTCACACCCCAAAATAAGCAAACATGTGGTTCCTAGAGCAGAATATTACTCTGCTTGCCGTGGCCGGCGCTTAGTCCTGACCTCAACCCCATTGAAAACTTTGGGGCATCATAGCGAGAGATGTTTTCCAAAATGAGCGCCAGTTTCAATCTGTGAGTGACCTGAGCACGGCTATCCTTCGTTCTTGGGATAAAATTTCTCAGAAGAGACTGGATTATATGGTAAATAGCGTGGGGAGAAGATGCATTGAGGTAATTATGGCGAAAGGAGGTGAGATTGTCTATTAAAATGAGTGTATGTGATCCACTTCCGACAATAGTTATCCATCGGTTAATGTTCAGACCCATTAAGAATAATTTGTCTTGTTGCAAAAATAACGAATTGGCACAACAAAATGCATGAATAACCATTGTGTCTGGGGTTCTTTTTTTCTTCTTAGTGAAAACTTTTATACAAAATTGCAAAAAAATTGCTGCTAAACGTGACTTTTATTCATCGGATCAGCTTCCATTCATGCATCTATGTACTTAGCGATGTTAGAAGAGAGTGCGTAACCAAAATCACCAGTGATTGAATGGAATTTATGGAACCTAAATAATGCGCTTATGATGCAGGTGTTAAAGACAAGTATTCAGTTCTATAGACTCGTAGAATCATTCAAGTAATAATTAAATTGCCACGTATCTTAGTGATAATTATAAAAAAAATAATCCTATAATACACACCAGAAAGTTTCACATTTATATGAATAATACAAATCACATACGGTACACTAAATGTGCAAGACTCCAACAAGTTGATTCATAAAACTTGATTATCTACCGTAGGTCGTCATATATGAAGCCATTACCGATTACGAGATTCGTCAGGTAT